TTCTAACCCCACAGCCGCCCTGCGGTTGATGTATCATAATACGCACATTAGGCATTGCATATCGCATTCCCTTCTCCCCACCAGCAAGAATAAGTGCTCCTTGGCTTGCAGCTACTCCAAAACATACAGTGCCCACTTTAGGCTTTATCTGAGAGCATCGGAAGTCATCAGTGCTTGCGACAGATAGGAATCAAAGGAATAGAAAGATGGATGGATGGATCAAAATGCAATGCATACATATTTTCTTGGGCATCTTTCATTGTTTAGACAGAAGACCATAATTAATTGTTTGTGACTGGATGCCACTTACTTCAATGCTCAGGTCATGATTTATTACCATAACTTTAAAGGCACGCATACATATGGATGGATGGATCAAAATGCAATGCATACATATTTTCTTGGGCATGTTTCATTGATTAGACAGCAGACCATAATTAATTGTTTATGACTGGATGCCACTTACTTCAATGCTCAGGTCATGATTTATTAACATAACTTTAAAAGCATGCCTTCACTCCATTGATCTTTCATGTAGTATTTAAAGTTCATTACTAAAATCACCACCTCTTGGAGGGTTATAAGATCAGAATCCCATGACGATGTTGCTTATGTTTCAAATTATTCAATGATGAGAAAATAAAATTATAGTGATAGTAAAATTACTCAAGACATGCAATCATAGGTTGCCAGAACAGAGTAAGTGCTTCCACCAGGACAGTTCAGATACATCTGCAAATGTAAAAAAAGTTACAAGCACTTAAAATTTGTCCTTGCCATTTAATTCCAAGCTCCATAAACTGATTACAAGACTTAAGTACAAAACTAATAAGCTAACATAACCACACCAGAATATCTGCATTCTCATCGATAGTTGCTAGAGTCACAAGCTGTGAAATGACTCGTTGAGCCACCTGTGAATTGATTGGCTACCCGATGAAGATTATGCGATTCCTAAATAACACGGATGAAAAATCCAGGGGTCCTCCTGAAGTCATCACCGCTGGCATGATGGGTGGATTGCCCCCCTTTGCTTCAACTGTAACATAACTGTATACAGAAATCATTACTTGAAGAATATGCATCAGCTAGAAGAAATGCTTTACTACCAAAACAGCAAGACAATCATTAAAAACGGTCAAATTAAATCTTCAAGATAAAATAAAATGCATGGAGCATGAAAAAGCAATAAACCTTTGTTTAGCATCAAGGAGGTTGTCATCATTCCTTAGCGATAATCCTACATTGACAGAATTGCACATTTATATATAAAAAAAGGGGGTCTGACCATAGACACAAATTAACAAAATAGTCAAAACACATACATCATTACATTACCGGCATCTATACATAATTAAGCGAAAAGGGTCCGCCCAAAGCCATCCAATAACTCAACAAACCCATTTGACAACGCAATGTATAAGAGAAGCAAGTACTAAAATATCAAAGGCATGGGTAAATTGATAAAACTGGAATCAGATTTAGGAAATTGGATTCAAGCTAAAAAAATCGAACTTGGTCAATAAAAAAAATATAATTATGGACATTGAACTGAACTTAAGCATGTTTTAACAATAATCAAGCTAAAAAACGAACCGGGTCAACATAAAATAAATGTAAAACTTACGACTTGTTGAAGAATCACTGGAGGGTCTGGGCAAGGCAGATACCACCGAGTTTCTTCTGCAATTAATCAAGGAAATGATAAGATTAAGAACTAAGAATAATTCGGATAGTACAATACATGACGTTACCCGTGAGAGAATATAGAAAGAAAGGGGGGTTTGGTGCGCGAAGAGGTAGAGAAGATGGCAGCAGGGGCAGACAAAGCTGATGCTTCTATCGTGTCGAAGCTGTAATATCAAGAGAGAAACATAGAGAGGGGTTTTTGACGCGGGATTATAAAAGGGGTTTAGATTTTACAAACTTAGAAGCAAGGAGATATCTTCGCTTGCTTATTGCTAATTAAAAATATTTTTTTTCTTTTTCTTATATTTTTTTTAAAGTGATGTAAATTTATTAATATGCATTTTTATATATATAGAAGATTTATTTAAATATTAAAAATGATTTTTTTTGTTTTCTTGCTAAATTGGATTCAAGCGGATCTTTTGTCTAAATATATGTAAATGAATCATGGAATTTGTAGTAAAGTCGAATTAAATTTAAGAAGGGTGTAATTCCTAAATTTGTTATATTTTGTGCATTATTTTCATGCAATTAATCAAAGCAAGGTTAAACTCTCTCAAAAAAAATAATCTTCCTAGTTATTTTTATTTTCAGACTCCCTAAAGGGTAAAGGAAAAGGGAGAGCCTTTCCATTTACAAAACTATCAAAACGTTTTTGCGGGCTGCATCTGTAGCTCTGACCACAAATTGTTTGCCACGGATTAATTTCAATGCAACAACAAGGATTTTTTTTTTCCTTCATAAATTAAGTTATCAAATGATGGCCTGAGAAAATAATAAAATAAAAATAAGCATTATTTTTTCTTAACTCTAACCACTATGACTTAGTGATTGTTTGTATTTAATAGTATCATAGCTTTTATTTTTAAAGTATTTTTTATTTTAAATTATATTAAAAAAAATTATTTTTAACATTAATACATCAAAACACTTTAAAAATATATAAAAATTTAATTTTAAAAAAATAGAATACTAAGCATTCCCCGTAAACCTCCTGATGAGTTTTGTATCCTCTGTCATTTTTTAGTTATTAAAGAGATATTCAAATTTAAAACATCTTAAAAGGAAAGGAAAGGAAAAAAATAACACTAACTGAGCTGCATCTAATTTTTTTCTTCTTCATCGTCAGTTTCCTGGTTGCAAGTCCCAACATAACAATAATCGGCACGTCGTCCCTACAGATGCCTTGAGAAATTGATTTGGAAAGAAGAAGCCCGTGCTGACGGTAACATTCGGAAACAGAATATTCTTGACCTATGAAAAAGTCTTGCATTGATAGATTCGTGGCCACCTTTTAGACTCCGATTATGAGCGATGAAAATCCGTTTTCAAAAAATTATCAGGAATGAGAATTTTATGTTGCATTCCCTGTGTAGCAGGGTTAAAATCCGTCAAGGCTACACCTGATATAAAGTGTTGCTGGAGTAGCTACGGTGGCAGCCCGCGTGACAGTAGCATGTGCAGCAGCACGCAACAGCTAATACAGTAGTGAACTGACGAGAGTTGAGACTTGGACGAGAATTGTCTAAGGCCTTAACGAAACAGTGCTAGGATGACACAGTGGGATAGTGGGGAATTCAACAGCACTGATGAAATCGACAGCGTCAACAAAATCGACAGTAGGGGCTGACGATAACTTGGACAATGGACGGTCCAAGACATGCGAGGCAGTTACGCTAGTAGCATGTGTGCTGGCAGTGGGCAGTTGGCTTGTGGGAGAACATGCCAATGCAGTTGCGGCAGTTTTGGAAGCAGTTATCGGCAGTTACGGCAGTTTCTTATGTGGGGAAAAAAGTGACTAGAACATGAGATAATGGATGCTCCAGCTGTGCAGGAAGTTAGAGGCAGTTTATATTTGTAACTTCCATTATCTTGTAATTAGATAGGCTGTAAAATGTGTAGCATGCAGAAGGAGAACAACGGAAATGGGCATAGCACACAAGATGGACTTTGTGTAATTCTTTAATTGAGTTAATGAAAAGGTTGGGACTTGTTCCTGTAATCTGTTGTGTTTTGAATTCTATTCATATTCATTTGTGTTATTTCGCTTGCTTTGGACATTGAAAGAGTGGGGATCTCTTGGGTTTGTGGGATAAACTAGTCATAGGCAAAACACGAGTGAATCGATGAGGGAAAAGCTGAGTCTAGCAGGACTAGATTGCCGCACGAGGTCTATTTTTGAAAGCGAAAAATTGACCCCGTGACACCTTGTATATTGCCACTAGTAATAACAGCAAGAATCGGCATGCCACCAATAAAAATCACGATACATAAACTTTTGGTGGCGAAAGTTAGAATCTTAATAGCAAACCAGAATTAGAATTTCTTCAGGCCAGCCATTGCCCGAAGTAATTTAGGGCCAAGATCCCGAAGAAAATGACAAACTTGTCAAGAATTTTGTTCCTGAAGAGCCTAAAAATGAAAGACCTCTTGATTTAGATGATTGGTCCAATCGTTGTATTTATCATGAAGCTCCTGAGACTGAAACGGAGACTCTAGATCTGGTTGATTGGTCGAATCGACGTATTTATCATGGAACAACGATCTAGCCTGAAAGCGATGATTTTTCGAACCCACGTATGGAGCGACAACTGAACCTTAAACTGATGTTTGGTCGACCATACCTTTGTATCACGGAACAACTACCGAGTCCAGAAGTGAGAAGTCCTCTGTCACCGCCTCCGAACCATGACAATGCAAAGATGCCGAACCAGCAGAAGATGGTCAATTTGCCAAGGATATCAACAAGGTGACTAATGTTATTTTTTTAGGCTCTGAATAACGGAGTTAGCAGTGCTATATCCTTAAGCTTTGAGTCATTAATGAGTGCTACATTATAAAAATAAACGTGCTTCCTTAACAGGTAAGCTGTGAAGTAGATCAAATGAGGAGAATTGTTGTTCAGTTTGTATTCAGGCGTCTCAATACGTTAGGTTAGGATGCAAGCTAACTTGATTACGAGGTCAACATTACTGGACCAGGGTTCTATGCATCCTGTTGTAATGCAGGAATATCTTGTACCATGTGTGATTGGAATTTGGAAACAAGCATCTTGGAGTTAAAACCTTGCAGTATAAACCTTGGAGTTAACGGTGCGGTCTTCGGTGCCTTTTCGTTAAACTCGACAAAAAAGTGGCATTGGATGCTTAAATTATTTTAAGCCATGACTAGATCCAGTTATGGTTTAGAAATCTGGTCAGTTCTAGCTGGATTTCCATGAAATCCAGTCATGCCCAAAATATTTTTCGCAGCCAGGTTCTGGTCATGTAATTAAAGAGAATGCCCTTGCCTGTCATCCTAAACCACTCGCATTCCAAAACGTTCCCTTTTATAGAATCCCTGATGTTATTTACTAGTCTTTGTAGCAAGGAACATTGGTGTGCATGCTTACATCCACAAGGACTCTTTTAGAGACAAGCATATGACATCACACAAGATTTAAGTATCAGGACTTATTATTTACAATCACTTCAATAGATGTTACTACTGAATTTACGAGACATAACACAAGATTTACGTATCAGGACTTATTAGTTACAATCACTTCAATAGATGTTACTACTGAATTTACGAAATCAAAGGCACCCAAACTATGTTATCTGCTGGAAAAATATGGCACACGGGGGAAGTTCCAGGCTTTATCTTCAGCACACGAAATGATGGGTTGTCAGGATCCCATTTTGAGGTGTCCATGTGGCAAACACCAGTAGCTTGGACTCTATCTCCATGCTCGCCACCAAGTGAAATCTCAAATAGCCTGTTCCCACCGTCTTGGCTATGGCAATAGTAAACTACATAAGGGTAAGGCATGGTATGACATCCTATCATTTTTGGTGCCAAGATCTCTTTGGGCTCTTCCAAAAGGGTGTAGTTTTGTAAAGGTGCACCTGACTTTCTAAGGTGTCTAGTAGTTAAAGCTTTTACCTGGGTATCCATTCCAAAGGTGGCCTGTGCAAAATCAAGCATGGATTCTAAGGAAGTAGCACATAACTTGGTCTCTCCTTCCATGGGTTCAACTTCACATTGTGTTAGTGTATATTCCATGGCTTTGGCTTGAGGAGATTCTTTAGACACGGAGAAAAATTCAAGAAGGTAAGGTAATTTTGCTAAAGAGAAAGGAATTGAATTGGCTTCTTCTCTAGATATCAGACGAGGAGAAGTTGAAGGATCTCTATGGGAGAAGTAAATTGGAATTGCGTTACCAACTTTTAGATCTTTTAAGGTGAAGAAAATCTTATCTGAAGGGTCCATGTGATCCATATGTGATGATAGATGAGCATGCGCATGCTTTTGATGATCATCGTCAATATTATGCTTGATTGGCAGATGATTATCCTTGGAAAGTCGCTGCAAATCAGGTATTTCTGGGTTGTGTTGCTGACCATTAGTATCATCATCCACTTCTTTCCAACTTATGCGAGTTATCTCTCTTGCACTACTGTCTTCAGCAAACTGTAATAAGAACAAATTGTTTAAATTATTAAATCGGGAAAACCAAATATTAAAAATCTCCCAATTTTGTCAACGATATATTAAAAATTCAAGAAAATCAATGGAGGCTGCAAGTGTGATTTCAAGAAGGGGGGATAAAGATTACCAGTAAAACAAGGAGAGCACAAAGGATAATTCTCCAAGAAACATCAACACTCATCCCTGCTTCTGATATCTTGAAATCAAACCCGCTCTCTCTTACTCTCTCCTTGTGAAGGGAAACAGTTATGATCAACTGATCCAATTATTTCTAACAGTTGAAGTTATTTCTATGTCAAATGGAACAAGTAACTCTGCACTCATTTATTAAGTTTTGTCTTAATACGGCTAGTTGGAGACATCATATCAAGCTGAATTGGGGTCAACTGTTCTAGAGAAGCGGCCAAATGGCGCTTCAATCTTTGTCACCCCTGCTCATGCATTTTTGGCAGCGTTTGATTTCCCCTGTACAAACCTTGCACTAGAAGATCCATTACAAATATTATATTGATCACAAGTCAAATATGCAAATTATATATTGTTCATTACTTATCCCAGGTTAATGTTTTTCTGTGGATGATGCATTTGCCAAACTTCTATTGATGTTGAAGGCCAACATGCAGGGGCAGAACTACGAGGGCCTGGTAGGGGCAGCCCTGCAAAAAAAGAAAAAATTTCCTGGCCCCTTAAATGACAGAAAATTTCAGGATCAAGATTAGTAAAATTTAAGTTTTGATCTCCTTAGAAAAAACTTCTTAATGTTGCCCCCCTTCAATTTTTGTTAACGCCGCCTCTGGCCACGGGGCTATCGAAGTGCTCGGTTGACTTTAACTGGTTCCTTGATTCATTTCACCTTTAGTTAAATTGCAAAATGACATGTAATCTTTGACCATAAATAGATCCGAACCTAGCTAGAATATTAGTCGTTGAAATTTGAGATTTTTATTATAAAATCTTTTATACGAAGGAATTTTTACATGATACCTTACTATACGTGTAGTTTAAAGTCCATTCAATGTCTCGTAGTTATAAATATATAGGTTAGAATCATATACATAGATAAATAAAAAACTCAAAGCAATTTAGAAATATAATTTATATATTGAATAATTAATTAATTCATTTATTATAACAATTTCATTCATTTTTTCTAATAAAAATAGTTAGTTTATACTTGGTGTTTATGAGGTTAAAATGACTAGTAGCTAGTATATGTAAAAAAATTCTTTTGATGAAGATGAAGACTTTTTAATGATTAAATAATTATTTTTATAAAATATAATAATATTCTAGAAAAATATACTTTAAAAAATATATATATATATATATAATAAAAAATAAAGGTCATTAATCTTTGTTTTGAAGATTTCATGATATATTTATAAACCATAAGTTATGTTTTTTTGTAAAGATAATGATCTATAATGTAATTTTACTATGATAACATTTAATGGGGTATAAATATTATTTAGATTTATATTAAAATCTAATAGAAATATAATGTGTTTTTTAAAAAAATGTATACACCTCAAAAATATAAGAAGATTAAAGTCAAGGATGTTAAATGTAACTAAACTCAAGACTGAGTTCTTCTCGTATGCTAGACCTAAGGGAAGTAGATCATCTCATTGGGCATGCTCTAAGTAGAATGTCCATTCCTTTAAGGATGAACAAGGAAGGATGATCACTCTCTTGTATGTGTCAAGGAAAAATGGTTATTACATTAGACTTGATTAATTATCAAATTAAAATGCTTTGGATCTAATATATTTGTCAAACCCATGTTATTTTAAACTTAACTAAATAGTAAGTTCAAATACCTTGAGTTAAATATATTTGTTAGATCCATATTACCTTATTTTCTTGAGCATGCAAATGAAGAACGGTCTTTTCTTTAGGTATGCAAATTTTACTTGTAAATTTTTTTAATTTAATAATTTTTTGATAAACATATAATAACAAAATCTTAGTTCATCATGTTGTGTTTAGCATACTCCAACTAATTATGTCGACATACCAAGAAGGTGGATATTTGAAGGAATTTAAATCTTGATTGCAGGCACGTTCAAAACCTCTTAGCATGTAATGAAAGTGATATCTATACAGAATATAACTCAGATGGATGGATATTCGGCCGAGGCACCAGAAAACATCCATCTTGAGTTTTATAATAATGACCTGACCATATATATATATATATTATTTATGTGGGGTGTTCGGGCCAGCTTACGCACACCACGACTAATCCTCACGACCCACTGAACATCTTGCAAGCCCAGTGAGCAGGTAAGACACCGCGGGGGTGATAAGCATGCATGGTGAGATTCGAACCCAGGTGCAGAGGAAAGGGACAAGCTTCTTCTACCACTAGGCTAGAACCTCACTTGCAAGTTGGCTGACCATGATTCATTTTAAGATTGAGTTCGTTTTCTAGCTAGGGAGGTGGATTGACTGTTACTGCTGCCTGGGCATGGTGGAGTTGAATGTTGAAGCGTTAAAGAAGTGGGCGCAGTGGGTATGAACACAAGGGTTGACTACAGGTATGGCTACCGTCGATGCTTTGTAGTGGGTACCAACCTCAAGCGTTCAAATTGTCAATTACTATCTCAAATCATTATAGCGTTGCTGACTTTAGCATGCGTGGCCGTACCTTTTATTGTGCAAAGTGGACCTTAACTAATGCCTTGGAGTGGACAAAAATGTTTATCACTGTTTCCGAATAAAGTATCTCATATGCTGAAAATATACACACACACACAGACATCCATATGTATGTATGTATGTAAAGTGTTTTTGAACCACCACGTTCAGTTACGATAATAATTACTTTTTAAAAAATATAAAATATTAATACGATATTTTTTATTTTTAAAATTTTATTTTTAATATTAATAAATCAAAATAATCCAAAAATATTATAAAAAATAAATTCCGATTAAAAGAAGGTTAGGGCTTTCTTCCAAACTATGCCTAAAAGAAACTGTAGAAGCAAATCCAGTAAGAATATAATTGTTCTAATGCAATTGGAGCATGTATATGCCGTACGTGAATACACGGGTATTGAAGTGTAATGTTTAGTTGGTATGTTTATTTGCTAGATTAGTATATTTAAATTTAAAAATAAGTCTCCTGAAGTTAAATAAGGTTGTTTGTAAAAACAAAAACAAATCTTAAATTTAATTGTTATATCAAACTAAAATCTTATGAGCAATTTTATAAATTTAGTCTTATAAATAGTTAGCTTGATGTAACTGGTTGAGATTGTTTTTATATTTAAATTAAATCTAAAAATTATTATTTTGTTTGTTTTTTGTTATTCTCAAATTACTTTAGATATGTGATACTTGTTTAATTTAGATTTTGTAGTCTAACTTACTATTTGAAAATTTAATAAATTATTCACGTTGGATTATTAACATTCAAAATCAAGATTTCTCTATAATTTAGTTGTAATTTTGAAATTTATAAAATCTTAATTTTTTATTTAATGCGCTGTATTCAATACAGGTATATTGAAAACCACCAATAAGAAGTAGTGGATGTTGGTAATCTAAAAACACAGTACTGATTAAAAGATCATAATAATACATGAAAATTTATACAAGATTGATGGATTGGTAGACGTTGTTTTTTAAATATTTTTTTTAAAAGATATAATAAAATAATATTTTTAAAATTTACTTTTTATATTAAAGTATTAAAACTTTAAAAAATAATTTTAAACTAAAAAAATAGATTTATATTTTAAAAAATACAATTAAACACCAATAACAAACACCACTTACAGTATCCCACCTTCTTCGAAAAGATTATTTATCAATTTAATAATTAATGAATTCCATTCAATTCTTTAAAAAAATAAACGAAAAGAAAAATAAATGTGCTTGATAAAATTCAGATATCATTACTTGATAGTTACTTTTCTGTTTTTTCTTGGTTTACAAATTGAATGGATCTTAATTAAGGAACTTGATTATCACTTGACACCGTCGCCAAGCCATTAAACGACACCTTTCAAAGGGATCCGAACAGCATTTATTGCAACCCAAAAAACTTTTGACTTCCTTCGTAGTTTCTTTATTAAAAGATCTAGAGAGGTCTCTCTCAATTAAATTGATAATTTTTCCTTAGAATGGTAATTTTAACTGGAGTCATTTCCCTGGATGCTGGGACATGTTGCATTTTAATTCGCAGAGCCGGCCCCTTAGGACAATCGAGACTGTTAAATTACTATTTTTAAAAAATAATTGTTTCTGTACCCTGTACCATTAGTCCGAACATAAAATATTTTTTTTATTAATATAGGTATTTGATTAGTGTTTATCTACTTTAACTAATTTTATTAGTTTTAATATTAATAATAACGTAAACTTTTAATAATTTTAAAGTTTATAAAATTTAAATTAATAATTTTTTAAAAATAGTTCTAAAAACCGAAATAAAACAATTCTTATATTATAGGAAGGGGAACATGGGGTGATAATTGCTTTAATCGGGTTTAAATGTCAATTTGAAAAACTAAAAGTAAGTGTTTTTAGCTGTATATTCTTTTTTATTTAAAAAAAAAAGAGATGAACATAAAAAACCTGAATTTATTAAAAGTTCTAAAGATATTTTAATTTTAATTTATTTTTTTAATTCCATATTTCTTGCTTTTTTTCTAACTTGTTATGTTTAGTTTTCTTTTGTAGAATAGATGTTAATAGTTATTTTTTAAATGCCATAAACTTCTCTCTCCAATAATTATGTATATGGATTGGAAAATGAGGTTGTGCAATGCCAACCAACACAGTGTTCAGGTTCAACATAGCACTTACAGATCCAAACTTGTTGAACAAATTAAAAAAGAAAAGGAATATGAAGGAAAATGATAAATTAGTCCTCCACCTCCACTCAATTCTTGCTCTAGTCTATAAAATCAAGATTAAAACGGTGTTTGAAATTATAGTAGATGCATGATTTTTACTTGAAAATAAATTAAAATAATAGATATTTTTTTATTTTTAAATTTTTTTTACACTTTCTATGTTAACTGATTTAGATAACACGAGTAACATTAAGCTTTGAGTAATTAGAATATTTGGATTTTTTAAGTTTTGAGAGTATATATCAGATTGAAAATGAATTAATAATTAATAGGCTAATCTGTCTTTTCCTCATTTTAAAAGTGGACAGTGCTATTCATGAACAAAAGTTAAAGGAACAAAGACAATCTCTTCGGTAAGCAAGTGACCTAACCAGTTATATTATGCACATTTCAAGTTGACTTTAGCCTAAAGATCCAAGTTTAGCCCCTGTTTAGCATTGCATTGCGTTTCAAATAGGGATAGGGTAAATTTTATTTTAATTGTTATATTTTAATTTTTAAATTATTTTAATATACTAATATAAAAAATATTTTTAAAAAATAAAAAACATTATTTTAATATATTTAAAAATAAAAATCATTTCTTTCGAACACACAAAATCTCTAAGCTTTCTCGTCGGCACTAGAATCTGATCTGAGCACCCAAGAAAAGTTCATTTCTACCTTTTTCTCTCCTTCTCTCGTCGCTTTCTGATAGTCAATGATAGATCCCTGCATGGAATGAAGCATTAGGCAGAAATATTGTAGGCTAATAATATCAGGCTTTGAATCTTTTTCCTCCACGGAAATTCGGGCTACTCTAACCATCTCTTAAATCTATATCAATTGAAAAAACAGTGATCTAATCAATCTTTTTGAACTTGAAGATTGATATTAATTAATTGTGTCACCAGAACGATGATTGCAATAAGATAATCTCGAGCCAACGTATGGTCTAAGAGTTGACAATAGCTGTGGAAACATCTAGGTGTGCCCTCCTGCTCCTAATGCTTATGACATTTAATTTGATTAAATGTTTTTTTGTTTTTTTGTGCGTGTGAGGTCAACTTGTAGCTAGCTAAGACTAGGAGATAACACTGTTAAGATGGCTGTGCTTGTCAGCATTAGTACTCTGGGCAGTATTTTTCCCAAAAAAAATTTCCCTCCTAAGATGACTATTCAATATTATCCCTCTGAAGTCTAAATCATGGCTGGTGGATGACGGGCCATGTTCAGTTCACAGACACACAAGAGAGTAGTATTATGATATATATGTGTCTGTGTGTACTATGTATAAAAGATGAATTTGTTTGCTATAATTGCACAACGATTTCCAACTAGCATGGCAAAAAAAATCTTTTCATTTCATTTTCTTTTTTTTTTGTTCTACTCGTATAACTATACCAGTACTGATATTACATAGCAAGTGGGTTTATAAATGTTCTTGGACTTTAGAAAATTTAATCAGCAAAGGCTATCTAGACAGCCTGAAGCTGGACAAAACAGCTTAAAATAATAAATCAATAAGGCCGAAAGCAAACAAAGTCCTTCTGCTGTCTAGGGACCCTATGTTTAAGTCAGTAAGATATAAAATGAAAATATAAGATTTTTCAGGATACACCATATATTCAAAGATTTACGAGGAAGATGGAAATGTGAATAAGTGTGGAAAGAGAGAATGTTCCTCCTTCTTCAGTGATTCATGAAAGCGTCTTTATATTCGTGAACAATGTTCACTTGCATCGTGATAAGAGGAAAATGGTAAAGAACTACGATACATACACGGGCAAATAGCGATCATCTGAGTTTATAGTTTTTAATGAGTGATGGCTTTATGTTCAAGGGAAAAAACTCTTGTCACGTTGATTGACAGCTAAATTTAAACGAGATCAACGTGACTGTCACCGTTGTGTTGGCTTGGTGATGAAGAATGGCGTGTTTATACTGTAAATGCAAGTTGCTTCATTCAAGGTCGGGACGTGTAGACTCGGAGGTAAAGCTCATAGGAAAAGAAAGGACTCCCGAGCCCCCTAGGAGGCCATTGAGGTTTTTGGAGAGGTTAAGCATCCTAGGAGGCTGTGTCTACTAAGCCTTCCGGGCTACCTTGGAGGTTATGCTTCCCTCTTGTGTCCGGAGCAAAGAATATACTGATCCTCTCCGAGCATGAGATGCCCAAATGACCCACCAGATCTTGGGCTGGTGTTCTTGGTAAACCTTGCCTCGTGTGTTGCGTCAAAACATGGTGATGGGTAGGGCAAGCGCTGGGCACAGTCCTAGCTAGGTCCATTGATGGCATTTTGGGCTGGGTTAAAAAAATGGGATGATAATCATTAACCCCTCACGAACCATTTGCCTCGGAAATGTAACTATTCTTAATTAGGATGATGTGAAGCACACAAAACCTTAAGAATGTTACTGTATACATGTCAGCTATGAACAACGACCATATTTTATTCTGCGTCTAACACTTGTATTTCGTTACTGTTAATTGTATAGTGTATAACTGGGTCCTTACTTTTAAAATTAATGTTTTCAAGGGAAAACACTAGTGATTTTTGTGTATGTAAGCAAAACCTCTGGCCATTGCCTATCACCAGAAGAAGAGAAGGATTTTATATACTTTTTAGGTATTTTCTTTTTTTAAGGTCAGTGGTGTCTCAAATTTTCAATACAGGGGCATTATCGTTATTGATGGACACTGGACTCTAAAAATAATTAAATCATTCACATACCAACCCTATTGGATTCTTTCTTCTCCCTTTCAAGCCACAATGTCGACACTTTGCACCCACTCTGACCATGAAATCACCCTTCTATTTATTTGTATTTTCTTACGCAGCCTTTGATTCGATCGTGCTCCGAAGCACAGCAACTTCTTTTCTTTGATAGGGCAAAAGAAATTTTATAATCACTTTCTTGTCCCTGCACTTTGTTATAAATGGTGGAGATCAGCAGAGGTTGAGAGACCTGGCTACCATACAAGACAAAGTACGAGTAGCAAAATCAAAGTGTAGAATGCTATACATGAAGTCTTTCTTGTTTTTTCTTGTTCTCCTCTCTTTTCTCACGGTAAGCGTTTCCTAATCACATGAAACCTTTTCAATTTAGTTAAAATATCCTACTATTTAATCTTTTTCCCTTTTGATTCATGAATCTGTTCCCTCTAGTAGTATATCAATGGGATGTACATCTAGAGGTAAATCCAATTGAATTTCAAATCACCCTGTACACTATCGATTAAAGTTGTCCTTGCACTTTTTTTCCCCTCTAGTAGGATTTATGCTCTAACATGTTTTTCACCTGCATGGAATAGTTTGTTGAGCTCAATCATGCAAGAAAGGAACCGAGGGAGAATTACTGGAAGAGCATGACGAAAGATCAGCCTATACCGGGAGCAATTAGAGACCTTTTCGTTCAAGATCCTGCCGGTGCTGACAAAATGAACCATTTTGTTAAGGATTTTGATACGAAGCACAACGCCATCATATACCATAGTCATGAGAAGGACAAGCTGAAAGAAAAGAAATCCATGAATCCCACAAATACTTGGGATCATGAGACAGAGAAGGAATAAGAACAATAAGTAGAAAAGTTGTGATCCAAGGACTTATCACCTGTGTTTGTAGAATATCTAGTAGTGTGCTTCGTATTGATTGATTGGTGTATAAGTCTGGTTGTGTTATTAAATAATAATTAAGCTTTTTGTGTGTTTATTTCTTCTTTTCTTGACATGGCTAAAAATGGATGAAATTTGAATGAAAAAAAAGGGGCTAAAGTTGGATGTTTAACTCATGAGCATCAGCGTGCAAGAAAGTTAAACGAGGTGCATGAGATAGCTATAACCCGGTAGACGGTAGCTGTTTGCTGTAAATAGAGTTTTGGTTATTATCTTGAAATAGAAATAACAAAAAAAAAAAAAAGATAGGGGAAAATATGGTATATTTTCACATTTTTTAAGGTATTATTTGTTTGTTATCCTAGCATAGAAAGAAAAAAAACAGAGATATAAATGTATTTAGTTGGGACAATTTTTAAATAATTTTTTATACTTGCAAAAGATGAGGTAAAAAAAAATATGTAATATAATTTTTATCTTTATTTATTTTATTTTTTTGTCTCAAGAAAATTACCAAAAACTATGTAAAAGTAAAAAAATTTCTCTCATAATAGATTTGTTTAATATCTTTTCTTTAGTTTTTATTTTTTTGAGTTCTTATTGGTTTAAGAAATTATATATATATATATTGTTGTGGTGGGGTGTAAGAACAAGTCATTGATAAGTTAGCATAGCAGTTAAAGGATCAAAGCTAGTGTTATGATTTATATATATATAAAAAAAAGGTGCCAAATAAAATAAATGCAAATAACAAGAGGCTATGGGCTAGTCAAATGACATGCAAGTAGTGGATGGGTGGATGATCAAAAGGAAATAGGTAATTTTGAGTTAACTGCTTCATCTTGCTAATAAAAACTATGATTTGCCCTCCTCAAAAGCTCTAGACCCAAGTGTTCGACATAATGCTTCTGAGAAGGGCCTTGGTGTTGATATATGAGAAATGCCGCGGGTCAGTACACTACTGAGATGCCTATAGCAGATTCCAACTTGATTGTTTGTAAGTGTTCACTTGTACCTAAAGCTGAGCATGCATGTAGATTCCAACATAAAATATGATATTGATACTCTTTTGCCTATAAGTGGAGATGGTGAATGATATTTAATACTTGATGATTTTGAGGGTGGCAAAACTGTTAAATAGTATGATCCTGTTGGTATCAATTGTGGAGAATGCTTAATTCTGAATCAGTGTAGTCCGTAGAACTATTCCTTGCACGATCAGGAGTTTGGTGGCCAAAAGAAGATGATTATACTTCTGATGATAAGGCCTTGGGCGTGGTTGTTAATGGATTTCCGTTGGGCGTTCAATGACATAGATTTTGCCTTTCCTAATATTGTTGGTGGAAGGGTAACCAGTCATCTTAATAGCCTACGAAGAGCTAGAGTTTCATTATACGATTTTTGTGCTCTCTGAAGTTAGCGGAAGGATGGCATTGAAGACAAAAGGATTTGCTTGTTGGATGATTGAACTCTGCCTTCAGGCGTTTGGAAACTTGTATTTAGCTGCTTATGGTGGTGGTCTGTTAATGGAATGGGATCTAAGACCCGAATTGAATTGGTTCAACAATTCTCTTGTTTGTGTGAAATTCATGGAGTAGTAAAGGGGGATAGTTTTATGAGGAGCAGTTTAGGCGTTATTGCTCTTAAGAATTTAAACAATCGAAAGCTTGCTTATACTGAGAAGTTTTACCATGGAAACATTCCTTGGAATTATAAGACCTAAAACAGGCACAGAGATGGGACTGTTCCATGCATGAATGGGTTGGGAATTACTATTGTTATGAGTTGCTGTAAGTGCAATAATGAAAAGCTTGTTTGCTCCCTAAATTTTGACCTAGGTGGAATTGTGTGGAGTTATATGATTAGAAAAAGAGGTTTGTGTGGACATTGGGTCACTAGTTTTTCACCAAGTGTCCAAATAATGGTTGCTGAGAAAAGTGTTGATGATTCATTAACAAAACTCATAACCAGAGCTTGTTTCTCCTAGTGACAACAGACATAAATGAGAAAGCTCCCATGCAAAGCCTTCTTGCTACATTGCTATTACCTTGGGAGACTAATCTTTGTTGGCTGCTTGGTAACTTTAGTGTTCAAGGGATTAATGCTTTGTCAGAAATTGCGAAAGAAGAGACCATGAATTGGTTCAAGAGGCATCCGAAATGTGTGGTTAACAACTCGGTGGGAGCTTATGTTTATGATAGAGAGAGAGTGGTTAAATACATCGTTGATTGGTACAAGGTTTGCAAGTTGAAAGTTCACACCGGGCTAGCTTGACATTATTTCTTGCAACCGAAAGCAGCTTTCAACAATTGACGAGAAACTTTTTACAGGGGAAGTGGGAGCTTGCTGTGGCACACTGTTAGTAGAATTAAATTGCAGTCTGGCCATTGTGCTAGAAGAGACAAGAAGAAACGAAACTCCAGATGGTTACATCATGGCTTGGTTGCTCGTGTTTTATATGCTAACAACAGTACTGGTGCTAAATGCTTGTGTTGTTAGGATGACTTTTTGTGATATCTTGAAACGCTGTGGTCTTGGCATGATTCATGACAGTTTTGGATCTGGTAGCTTGTTTCTAAAAGATTATTGTGATTGTGAATCAGAACTTAATTATTCCAGCTGTGTGTTTGTGGAACCAAAGAATGATGCTGAAATTGACGGATTATATGGAAATTGTGGAATAAAATTGGGAGGAAAATGGTCATTGCTCATCAGGCACATCCTAAGGAACTTAAAGAGTAGAACAAGAAGAATGGATTACATTTTTTCGTCTTATTGCAAACTAATTACAGGAGGAAACAAGCTTGTCGAGGATAGGAGAGCATTAACCTTTCATGTGAAATTTACTCTCGGAGGTTCAGACTTCACTCATGTACACGTGTGGTTTTATCACCATAGAAATATTGTCTCCTCAGATTGTGCGTGTGCTGGCTTGTAGGTACTTTCTCGAGAGAAGCTGATACTTTCGGCGCTGAAGTACTAAAAGATATAACAAAGAACAGACTCGCATTTGGTGATAACAAGTATTGGTCTGTTGATGTCATTATGCAAATTGTAGTAGATCATGAAGGTTGCATAATCTTGTGTGTTACGGCGTTGGTGCTCGTGTTCATTTAAAGGGTAATCGGAATGAAAGACAAGTTAAGGAGCTGGACGGCTTTCTGTTTAGTGAGTGTTTGTTGTCGTGGTTGTTTATAACCTATGAGAAACAATAGTTGGGTAATAATTAAAATGTTATTTACTGTTCATGAGTTTTGCGATAATTTGTGTGTGGAATGCAGGGGAAGGAAAGTAGCTTTTTGCTTCTTCTTTTGCAGAGAAATTATACGAACAATATGGTTATGTTTCACTGTTTTGATAGTACTAATCGGTTCAAAGTTAAAAATATATTGTATTCAACCTAAAGATATATTGAATTGCATGTTACTTTGTAAAATAAAAAATATTTTTATTTTTAATTATATTTTATTTAAAAATTAGTATTTAATATTATTTAATAACATTATATAAATTAAACGAAAACTATTTAATAATATAATATTTATAGAATTTAATCATAATTTCAAATTTATTTCTAATTATATTTCACCTGATATTATTATGCGCTTAAAAAACTAAAAAAACTGTAATTTTTATCGGATGTATTTCATATGTGATGGAATTGTAAATAGTTTAATGAAATAATAAAAAATATTTTATATAAAGTATTATTTATTTTATGATATAATAAAAATAATTAAATTTATAATATTTAAATTAAAAATCATCAATATTAATATATATTTTTTAAAATTATTTTATAAACTTAATTTTAAAAACATTCTTAATCAAATATATTAAATTATTTTTTATTTAATTTTAATTTTAATCATAATTTTAACCAAACATATATAAATACTAAATTAAACTTAATAAAAAATATTTTTTATAAAATATTTTTTTCAAATCTAAATTATAAAAATTATCATAATACCACCAAAGTGACTCTTGTAACAAACTATTCTCAACTTTTTCGAGGACAGGCTCTTTGAAGAGAGATGCCTGTTTTTCGTATAGGCCATGGGCTCGTGTATTTAAATATTTAAAATGGGAAGTCGAGGCCTAATTGACCCATTTGTTGGTGGGCTTAGACTATTAATTAGGCTGCTTAGACTAGATAGAGGAGTGCCATGTATCAATTAATTAACTTCAAAACAAAAGGGAGGGGATTTTACAGTCCTCAAAGAATTCTTGAATAATTTTTTTACTCTTTTCTTAATTTTTTTCATTTTTTTTTTAATTTTAATTCTATACTTTAATATTATATTTATTAAAATTTGATTATTTTTTAATTTTTTTTCATATTTTTTTATTTTTTTAATTCAAATTTTGAGTTTAATTAGTTAATTTGATTGATTTAAATTATTTTATAATTAATTTTTTTAATTTTATTATTTAATATTAAATTAAAAAAATTAAATTTTATAATTTATTTTAATTTATTTTTTATAAAATTATTTTTATTTTATAACATAAATTTAACATGTTGATAATTTAAGTTTTTTTTTTAGTTTTTTTTGTGTTTTTTAATTTATTTTTTAATTTTAATTTTATTAAATATTAAGTTTTATAATTTATTTTTATCTATTTTTTATTAAATTATTATTATCTTGATATATAAATTGAAGAATTATTGTTTTAATATTTATTTAAAAATATAATTTTAAATATTTTTCTAAATTAAATTACACTTTTATCTATCATCCAAATTAATTTCATTCTTTTTAAATTAATAAGTTAAATTATTTTTAGATTTATTAAATTAATTGAATTAGATTAGATAAATTCTCGCATGGTTTAAAAAAGTTAATAGAAAAAATATTAGTAATGTTTCAATCATTTTTATGTTAAAAAAAATAATTTGATAACAATGATCTAGCTTGCACTAATCAAACATGCAATGGGTACATAATGAAAAATTAATTGATATTTATCTTACTTTCTCTGCCGCCTCTCTTTGCCTTTGTTTTTCTAAACTCTTGCTTCTCTATTCTCCTTTCCCCTTCTCACAGTAAAATCTTCTATTTTCAAATTAACCGAATCAAAGAACGAGAGAGATTTATGATTTTGGTGGCTAAGCTCAAGCATAAACATGGACTGCATCGACTTTTTGTTGATCGGATAATTGCCTTCTTGACAAATGGAAGCCGGAGAGAATAAATGAAGTCTCGAAGAGACGATCTAGAGGGAGGAAAAAAGAATTGTCGGCAGATAAAAACGGCAACCGTGAATGAAATAGCAGTGAACATAGTTAGGTTTATTTAAAGTGATTATAATCGAGAAGGCCTAGCAGGCCCACGTAAAAAAGCCGAAGACTAAGCCTGCCTTTACAAATTAGGGACCTTGTTAGCTAAAACCTCCTGAAAAGGCCCATTAAAAAAAATCCCGGATCGGAGCTAGTCAACAAAGCACTGGAGCCCATAAATACTTCTATTTTCCTATGCTTTTTTTTTTAGAATTTAGTGGAATTTTGATATGATATCATTACCATAATCCTTGAAAATTTTAAAAAATAATAGAATGGAGAGTGATTTATGAGAAAATAAAAGGGAGGAGAAGGAGGTAAGTTTTAAAAACATTCTTCATGTGATTGACCTTCATAATTTATTATGATTTGTTTTTTATATATTTATTATAATTTCATGACTCATGTAGCAATTTTAATAAGTTAATCTAGTTGACTCAGTTTTTTTAATTGATATTTTTTTCAATTTCATAATTTAATATTAGGTTAATTGTAAAGTAGATTTCATGATTTTTTTTTGTTTACTTTTTATTAGTTTATCTTGGTCCCATGACTAGAATTACGAGTTTTTATGGGATAATTTAGTTGACTCGGGTTGTTTTATTGGTTTTTTTATCCAATTTTATTTTTTAATAATGGATTAATTGAGAATTTTACTTCATAATTTGTTTTAATTTACTTTATATAAGGTTATCCCAATCTTACGACTCGAGTGACGAGTTTGTCAAGGTAACTTAGGTTTACCTTGGTTTTTTTTTTTGTTCAATGAAGTTATCCTCGTCTTATGACTTAAAGCTTGATAGATTAACCGAGTTGACTTAAGTTATTTTTTGTATTCTTTTTTTCATTGAATTTTTTTATTCATTTTCATCCTTCAACTTTAGGTTGATCAAGAGTTAATATTCATAATTTGTTTAAATTTACTTTGTATAAGATTATCATGATCTTATGACTTAGGTCATGAATTTAATAAATTAATTTGGGTTGACTCAAGTTATTTTTTTGTTATTTTTTTTCAAATTTATTTTTCAACATTGAGTTGATTATGAATTGGACTTTATGAGGTCATCATAATTTCTTGACGTAGATCGTGATTTTGATAGATAAACCTAAGTAGATATGAATTGAAGTAATATGTCATCATTTTTATATTTTTTTAAAAAGATATTATATTGAATATTTTTAGTTAAATTATATTATTACTGATTGCTCAAATTTTTTTTGAACCTATTAAGATGACTGGATCACATTAAATTAATCCTTATATAATTTAATTTTTCTTAGAAAAAATTTAAAAATGCTTGAAATATATTTTATATTAAAAAAATTAATATGTCCCACAAAACAACTCAAGCTAGTTATATTGTATATTTCTAAATATTCTCATTCTAGTTTCCATCATAGAAAACATTAATGATTAACCATACTATCCAAGATCATATTTGGATATTATTGAGAGGGAAATAGCCAATTATCGTGGATCACTGTCCTAGCGAAAAAAAAAAAACCTTTTATACCAAGGCATCAAATAATCTGCTCAAATTGTGAGAATCTTGCAGATTGATCGGAAAGAAGTAGCCTTGCTCAAATAATATTATTTTGTGTAGCAGTGCTTTCTTAGGAGGCTTAAGCTTCAGCATAATAGGCTTGCTCCTTCCGCTGGAAAGAAGCTGGATACCTAAAAGTGATATCCGTTGGCCGACCTTGAGATTGATATACTTTGACATGGCCTATCAAGACTAATGCACTCTCTTGTTCAAATGCTAAAACTTTCGCTCATAAAATTGTAAACTGGATCAAATCCATGTGAAGGCCGGTTAGCTCGGGATATCATCACCCCTGCTGGCTAGTTTTGTTCAGATTTGAATACAGTAGGTGAGAATATAAAGAGAGCAAACCATTAAGCAAAAGGATTTCAGAAAAAAAGTTCTATTGGAGCTTCTCACGCCATCATCTTTACCTTCTGCGTAACTTCCTCTCTAAAAACTCATGTGAAGACATGGAAGTTCAATTTTATCTGAAAATTTTATTGGCACATTACATTGATCACTCAGGAATGCAGAGCTCACATTACATTTCTTAGATTATTAGACATAGTAGGCATGGGAACATACACTAGATTGTCTTCTGGGAAGAAATGGCAGACATCGGAGGACCCAGGTTCAATTCCAAGCACTTTAAACGACACATGATTACGACTCCACTGTGAAGTATCCAAGTGGCAAACGGCAAGAGCTTCTACAATATCTCCATTCTCACCGATTAGTGAGACCATAAACACCTTGTTCTTAGTCTCCTGGCTATGGCAATAGAAAACTGCATAAGGGTAAGGCATAGTGTGACATGCTACCATCTTTGGAGCTGGTACCTCTTTTGGCACTTCTCGGATAGTATAATTTTGGAGCAGGATACTTGATTCTGTAAGGTAGGTAGTGCTCACAACTTTGAACCGGGACTCCAAGCCAAGTATACCTTGCACAAAATCAAGCATGGATTCCAAGGACGTAGCACAGAATTTGACTTCCCCTTTGATGGGTTTAATCTCACATTCTCTAATCGTATTTTCCATAGCTATGGCTTGGGGAGATCCATTAGAGAAGGAGAAGAATTGAAGAAGATACAGCAATTTTTCGTATGAAAAAGGAATTGAATTTGCATCTTCTCTAGGCAACAAGCGAGGAGATTTTGAAGGGTCCTTCTTCGGAAAATTTATGGGCATTGTTCTTCCCACTTTTAGATCATTCAAGGTGAAAAACACTAACAGCGAATGATCCATGTGATCCATATGGGATGATGGATGATCATGAACATGAACAGGTTCTCCATGCATCCCTTCACTTTGAGAATCATCCCTGGCTCCTCCTTTTCCATCAACACACTGCAATATACCATATGCTTCAAATAATTAACAACTTAGAGAGAGAAAGAAAAGAACAAGAATCATTTATACACATTTCCTGTACGAAACACGAAAGTTTCAGCTTGATCAGAAATATTTTAATTGAGCAGAGAATGGCACAAAGACAGACTGAATAGATAACTCGTTTATACACATAAGCGTACACAGATCATATATACTATATATCAAAATGAACCAAGCTAGCACGGTCTAATTAAGAGTACCATAACAAGCAGAAGATAAAGGAGGAAGAACTTGAAGGCAAATTCTGCGCCCATCTCTTTCGCTGTTTCGACTGAAGTAACTCTTCCGAAATTACAAGAATGCAGAATATATGGTCACGTTCTATAACGTGAAATGGTCATATTTCTCGCCCAGATAATAAAATACCACTTATAATGACTGAGCTCCTTTTCACTGTCGGGAAATTAACATCATTAATAAAATCTGTACGATGTGATTGGCTTAGTTTACGTATGTGTCTGTACATGCAATGTATACACACCAGCTTTCTTTGTATATCTAAGTGTGATTAGTATGGTCTACACATGCCATTAATTGATCTTATATACTTCAAAATCAACGCGATAAAACAATTCTGGCTTGGAACTAACCCGAAAGAGAACTTCGCTGAGGAAAGCTATTAACCGCCGTCGTTAATTCTAGCTAGGTGTCAACAAATTTGGAATTAAGAGAGTTTTTACCGGTTAACAGTTCCAATTAGGCGCCACCAGGAGCAAAGAGAGATTACATGAAATAGTTCAAATTGGTAATTCAAGTGAAAAAGTTTCTCTAGGAGGCTTGCCAATAAAAAATCTCATGGCGGCCAAGTTGGGAGACAACATTATTTTCTTGATAATTCTTTTTTAAGCGTTTTGAATTATTTAATTTCTTGAGATCTTTAGATTGAGACCTGTGGAAATTGCATGAGCGGCTTTACCTTTTTCTCCCTTTCTCTTTATGAATGATACGATATCACATCAACATCGAACAAATAATCCAAAAATAAAAAAACTAAAATAAAGAAAAGGCTACATTAGAAGGCATGTGATTTAAAAAGAAAACATGGTCGCGCATTCATCGAATGCATATAATTGAAACTTCATGTGCATATGGACAACATGGCTGTCCAATCTTTCTTGGCCATGATCATTCCTTCTTTGTCCATTAATAACAATAATTTTCTTATCTAGGTAGATGAACCCCGTAAAGGAGATCAGGTTACACTTTATGGATTCAAATTTAGTAGGCTAAAAAATTATATAAAATCTAATAAACACTTCTTTTTTTTTTTGTTAAGTTACCAAACTCTAGCCTAGTATATAGCCTGAATGTAGCAAGAACAAGTTCCAATATTGAATGTAGCAAGAACAAGTTCAAATATGATAGCTAAAATCTAATATATAACTAACTAGACATTCATCCCAATATTATTATGGAATGAGCTTGAAAATAAATAGTGGTTTAATTTTATTTTTTATTTTTAACAGGCTTCAACACCTTACTCCAATCTAACATTCTGTTAGAATTTTTTCTAGAATCTTATATGGATTTTTTAATATTTTATACTAATCTAATACATATTATTTTGAGTAGAATATAACTCGAAATTGAAATTACATTTCAATCTTTTCTCTCCATAAAAAAAATAATTCATTAACTATCAATACACCATGAATTGTTTAAATTTAAGGTTCACAATCTCTTTATTCTTAACACTTTTAGTGTATATATATTTTTAAAGTTTATCTCTCTAAATATTATTGTGTTTTTTCTCTTTATAAAGCTACCAATTTAAATATAAGGGAGTCTTCACATTCATCAAAAGAGATATTTTATAGGTATCACTTGAGCTTTTTATATCAAGCCACTAGACACCATAAATAAAAAAATAGATTATATTATTTAAATTAAAAAATTAAGCACCTTGGATTTTAGAATTTATCACTATTCAATAACTTCTATTTATTTTTTATTTTTTTATAGTTTGCCTATGAATGCATGCATGTTGTGGAGGGTGGATTGGTGGATTGCCAACATTATACAAATGTTTATTTAGAAGAAATTAAGTATTAATTATAAAATTAAAACGCGTGGCCTTTTTATTGTTTAACAAATTATTGTTCACTTTCTCACATATTATTATGGATTAGAGTAATGATTTTTTTAAAAAAATTCAATTTGATTCTTAAGTTTTTGTTTTGTATAATTGAGTTATTTTTAGCTCAAATTAATATTTAATTGTATGTTTTTTTTTTAAGAAAGGGATGAATTGAAAGTCAAAGGACTAAAATGATAAATATTGATAAATAAGGTGATGCCTCTTAATTTTATTTGAAAAGTACATTTAAGTTTCATATCATTTTCAGGTATAAAGTAACCGCCCCTCTAATTCTAGAAGAATTAATTTTGATAACAAACTCTATTTTCACCATTTTTCAATTTTTTTGGGTAAAAAAAAAAAGGAGGGATTATCAGATTCTGGTGCTGAGAAACAAAGTTGTTATTGCTGCAATTCTGGTCTTCACAATGAAAACTGACACGCAGGATTTCCAGCATTTCACAAGCTAGCCAATTTAGCTTGAAGCTTGTCAATCCCTTGTTCGGTCTTTATCGTCACCTTTAAGAAAATGTGGTTCTACAATTCATTTTATGCTCATATCATAGCTTGTAAGAGAAAAAAAGGAGAACCTGTTTTAGTGATATCCCGATTCCTTTTATCCCTTCAAGCTTTTCTTCTTCTTTTTAAAGAAAAGGGGATAAAAAATTAATAAAATATCTTAAAAAATATATATTTAACTTATTAGAATAAAATATCTCACACTCACACTCATCAGAATAATTATGTAATGTAGGACTTTTCAAAATTAAAAAAAAAAACATAAATTTAATGTTTGATTAAAATCGAAAATGATAAATTTGATATTTCACTAAACCTATAAATATCTACACTCAGTTCTTAATTAAGTTTAAATATAACGAGTCTAGCATATTTTATTGAACTAAAAAATAATAAGATTAGTAATTGATAGACTCATATATATATATATATATATATATATATATGGTCTTTACGTCTGACTAAACATATTAGTAACTACTTAAATTTATATATATTTACATATTAGTAACTACTTAAATTTATATATATTTAAATTTAGTGTTTAACTGAGCTTAGAAATTATATATCTTTTAGTTTACAAAATCCATATATATATATATATATGCATGCTTAATGTTTAGTTAAACTTGAGAAACCTGGATTATTACCTCATATTCGGTTAGATTTTTAGAAAAGAAAATTAAGAGTAAAAATTAAAAATAACGATCCATCAATTACTATTCCAGACATCACAAAATAATTGCAACAGTGGCTGCCAAAATAAAAGTATGGCTGCATTCTAATTATTATATACAGCCTTCAAACACAGGAAACTTTATCATCCACTAAGAGGGCCCTCGTTTGCTTACAAAGCTTCAAAAAACCTTACATTATTGTAAGGTTTATAATTTTTTGTTAAACTTTTTAATTAATACATAGTTTTGCTATATAAATTTTATTAGAGAGATATAATTTATTTTTGAAGCTTCTTAATTTAAATTGTTGGATTAAAATAATTATATGATGTAGTTTTTGAGTTTTTATTGTTTAACTATTCGTGAATTTAAATCTTATTATTATTATTATTTTCTAATTAAAAATTACTCTAATTTAAGGGAGCCAATTAATATAAAACATTTATAACCTGATTTTACAATCTTGTTAGCAAACTGCTCAATCAGAGAATTAAGAAATGTTAATTCTTGTTATTATGAGATCGATTTTGACAATTAAAAGAATAATGGATATTGTAGGATCATTTGTTCCATGGAAATGCATGCTTACCAAGAGAAGTGAGAAGAGAACGAAGAAAGTAAAGGAAGATATCGTGTTTCTGTCACTGATCTCTAGATGTATGGATAGAGCTTACATCCTCTGTATTGGAATGTATAAGGAAAAAAACAGGGAATGAGAGAGAGAGAAAAGCATATGATAAAGTTTTTTTTTTTTTTTGAGGGGAGAAATTAACCAAGCAGAATTATTAAGTACTTCCAAAATGAATAATGTTCTCAAGTATTTATTTATTGGGGGGTTGTGGAATTATCTAACTAAAAAATAAATGTTCTATATTAAAAAAAAAAAAAAAAGGATACTGGAGAGCTGTCATGAAAGATCAATCCATGGCGCCAGAAGCACAAGGCCTTGCTCACGTTGACCCAATCACCGCATAATCAACTATCAAAGATTCTGAGCCGAATCCGAGGCTTGGGATTTACGATAACGCTGTAAAATCAACAAGGATACATTTCTTCGACAAGGATTTTGAGACGAGGCCTAGTGGATCTATTCATAATGTAAAATATCATACATTCAATTGAGTTTTGAATTTTTTTTCCCCAGCAAATTTAATGATTGAACGTTTTTTTAATGACCCTTTAGGCTGCTAATCAAATCTTAGATAATTATAACCTCTACGCAACTGTAGTTTCTAATGACCTGATGTGGGATTATGCATTATCAGCCTTTGTTTTCTTTCCGCTGCAATGTACCTGTGAAGCCTGAGCAGTGCATTTGCGTTTAATTAGCAGCAAAAGCATGCAGCCTGATTAACCCCCTCCCCAAACCAAATACTAATTAAAAAAACTTTAATAATTGTTAAACCAGACCCATGCATGGGTTAATATAAGAAGTCGGTGGAAATCAATTGATATAATATTAAGGAATTCTTAAAAAATATATATATTATTTTAATGAAAAAATGATTTAAGTTTATCTATTGACTTATAAATTAACTTAATGATTAAATAACTTTGGCCTTTTTTAGTCAGTGCACCTATTTTGATATATAATTGATGGAGGTTCAGAAAAGTAAATCTTCTGGTGGGCAAACTTTTGATCGGGATCTTCGGAGACTTGGAGTTGGTGAAGCGTTCACATTAAATTCAAGCACCTCTCCTCCAGACTATCCAATTTTTAATGGGAAGCAAATTTATCACTTATCCTTGTCATATTTTCACGAGTTTTAATCACCTAACTGGCATCCAATACATATACATGTAGTTCACATATACACATCAATTATCGATATTTGGAAGTAACTATTTTTGTTAATTCCATCTTATTTGATACGTAGGAATTTTCTAACACGTTAAATCAATCTGGGAAACAAAATCACTATCTTGTAACAGCATATATGATTAAAAAATTCGATCGGTAACATGGATTTGCGCTTACCTGGGTGAGGAGTATTGGCTCCCCGAAACAACGTTCAGTAACAAGAAAAACGTTGTAAATAACCCAGTAGGACTGGGAGACCATATAGTAAGACCAGATGATAAGAACAAGGCATGGTAATATTTATGTACTAGAAAACACGACATTGATGAAAATGAGTTGCACCTCTTAAACCAATCTTTATCGAAAGGGATTTTGAATATCAGAGTGGAGCCTATCGTAACCAATCATCTCTCACTACAATCTTTTTTTATCAAATTCCATAGTGTGTGTGTGTGTGTGAATTGTATCTTGCACACAAATGCACGCAGTACTGTCCTTTTATATATCAAATCTTATAATATAATGTTTTAACTTTTTTTTTTTCTGATTTAGCAGTTTGCTAACGTGATCGGTGCTAGAAAAGACACTGGAGAGTATTGGAGAGCTGTCATGAAAGATCAGCCCATGTGCCAGAAGCAATACAAGGTCTTATTCGCACAACCACGATGTCATCAGTCTCTAATGAGAAAGCCGATTGCCACACAACCGAGTCCAATTAAAAGAATAATTTTGTCAAGGATTTTGGCCCACAGCCTACTGGTACATCTTATGACAACGGTGTAAAACCAACAAAAGATAAGTCCTTCTCGGAAGATTTCGACCCAAACCCTAACGTGTCTATTTACAATGATGGTGTCGTTAAAGGAGAGAGATCCTTTGCTGATGATTTTGAACCGAGGCCAAGTGCTACTGCTTATAGCAACTAATTACGATGGAGCAGAATTGATTTTATCTAAGCCCGCTATTGTTTGTGACTTTATTAAATAAAGGTTTCCCTTAATTAGGGGGGCTTATAAGCGACGTAGCGTGTGTTTAATTAAGCAATGTAAGATGTTTTTCAGTCATTATGATATCATGTAATATTGCTATAAGAAGTGTATGAGAATGTTATCGTTTTAATGTGTTTCTTATCAAACCCTTGCAAATGTTTCAAATCTCTCAATACATAGAAGATCTTAACCATTTTAAAAAGAAACATTTTCAAGTCACCTGCTACCGTGCCTTCTTTGAAAGGGAAACTACATACGCTGCTCTTTTGCTGCCGAATTTCAGTACCACCAACAATCCCCCATGCTATAGATTGCGCTATCATATGAAGCAATGTATGTAATCTAGAAAAGATAAAGAAAATAATAAAATTGGCCCAAACTAGGGCTCTTGAATGAAGTTTTTTTTATCTAAATATTCGGTAATCTATGTAAAGTTGTAGGGCCTATTATTAAAAAAACCAACTTCTAAATTTTTTTATAAAAATTTAGACTCAGTTCAACAATCAAGTTAAAAATCATAATTTTTTAACTTATTATTTTTTTGGTTTAGAGTGACCGGATCTCCTTCCAGACCTAGATATATCCTATTAATATATAAATATATTTACTAAACTATCTATATAATCAGAATATAATATATCATTATCTAATTGAAACAAATCTATAAATGACATGGAGAAGCATTGGAGTAAACCTCATTAATAATTTATAATATTATCTTAAAATAGTAATAAGTTCATCAAAGAACTAAAATGATAAAAAAAAATGTAAAATAAATAGTTTTAAGCATACTAAATGTTCACGAGGACTTAATGAGATAACTAATATGGTTTATATAAGAAGGGTACGAGAAAATTTTAAAATTTGATGAAAAATTATTTGATAATTAATTTTGTATTTTCAAATATAACTTTTAATCAAACCTTCAAATCAAACTAAATTTTATGATGAATTTTTTAATATATATTTCTAATTTAGATTAAAATTTTAAAGCAATATAACTTTAAAAGTTCATATAAAGATGCTACAGTTAAACAGAAAAATAACATATAACTCATTAATGACGTTTTTCTGTAAATATATGGGTGAGCTGGAAAGTTCCAGCAACTTCTTCTCCTTCTTTTAACTCCTGGCAGAGCAAGGCAAACAGAGAAAGCAAAAGAGAGAAAAACCTTACGAGCTTCCATGCTTAGAGAATGAATTTAGAGAAAGAAACAAGAATTGGAGCAAGATAAAGGAATTAAAGAGTTTTGTAAACCATCCAAAACATTCAAGAAAAGAGTTAACAGGAAAATCAAGTGAAAGAAAGGAGAAACTAGAGGAGGAAGTCACGTCCAAAAGAGGAAAAGAGGTCAAGGAGGGAAAAATTTAACTAGTTAGTATTTGAATTTCATTTTATTGTCTAAACAAGTTTGAATGAAAAGAAAAGAATTTAATGCATAATTTTTAAAATTTTAAATTAGAGTTCTTAAAATATATTTTGGGTGGAAGTGTGAAATTATTGTAGTTTGATGTAATTATGATGAGAATGGTTATAAATAATAAAAAATAAAAAATAATTGAAGAAAATTTTCAGACTAGGATAGCTACTTTAGAAGAAAATAGCGAAGGGAAGGACCAAATAAATATTTGTGTAATTGTATGTGTCAAGCATGTTTGATGTATTAATGATGAAATTAAAAAACATTTAAGTAAGCTTGTTTAATTAATTGTAGTTGGATGTTAGTGCATTTTGAATGATTACATTAAGAAGGATTGATGATATAAAAGATTCATGTTCATGTAGTTGATTTAATTGATTTGGAATTATCATGGCTTGTATGTAGTAAACATGTAAATGAAGAAAACATTAAACGAGTAAAAGACCTTATCTTGGGTGAAATTTATATTCAAGGGAGGGGGAGAATTAATTTGAAAGCTTTGATTTAAAAGGCGTTGGAATTAATATATGAATGTGGCTTGAATGATCAAATTGAAAAGTGGTTGAAATTAAAGTATAGGAATAGTAAATGAATGATTTAATTAAACATTGAGGATGTTTTAAAATTAAAAAGATGGGTCCAATTGAAGAGTGGTTGAAATTAAGGTACAGGAATAGTAAGTAAACGTTAAGGATGTTTTAAAAATAAAAAGATGGGTCCAATTGAAGAGTGGTTGAAATTAAGGTACAGGAATAGTAAGTAAACGTTAAGGATGTTTTAAAAATAAAAAGATGAGGATTTACAGAATCTTTGAAATGCCAATGAGTATTAATACAAGCAGATATGACTAAACTTTGTGTATTTTAAATACAAATAAAAGCGTAAAGCTTCGGACATAAAAATATATCTAGGATTGTGTGTAAGGACATAAAGATTGTTAATAATTGAAGACAACTTGAGAGGGATATCGTAACCAGTCATCATTCACTACAATCTTTTTACAGATCCCATGGCACAGAGAGTCTCTCTGAGCTTTTCATGAAAACAAGCCAAAAGAAAAACGTGAATCATTAGTGAACATATATATATATATATATATATATATATATATATATATATATAATCACGAGCCTTCTTATTCATATTTTCCCTTTCTCTTCTTGCTCTTTGCCTATATATAATAAGAATGCAAGCGACCTCCATACAATCAAACAATTTCATAAGGATTTGTTTAATTTGGGAAGAAAACATGAAATCCTCCTTCGCTTTCTTCGTTCTTTTCTCACTCTTTTCGGTATGCTTTTGTTTTGTTTTTTATTTTTGCAATGACAAATAGAATAAATGGTGCACATGCACACACATGCACGCAGTTGTCCTTTTATCTATCAAAATCTTATAATATAATGTTTTAATATTTTTTTTAAATTCTCTGATTTAGCAGTTTTCTGACGTTATCGGTGCTAGAAAAGACACCGGAGAGTATTGGAGAGCTGTCATGAAAGATCAGCCCATGCCAGAAGCAATACAAGGCCTTATTCGCGCAACCACATTGTCACCAGTCTCCAATGAGAAAGCCAACTGCCACACAACCGAGTCCAATGAAAAGCATAATTTTGTGAAGGATTTTCGCCAACAACCTACTGCTACATCTTATGACAATGGTATAGAACCAGCAAAAAATAAGTATTTCTCGGAAGATTCCGACCCAAAACCTAACGTGTCCGTCTACAATGACGGTGTTGTTAAAGGAGAGAGATCCTTTGCTGAGGATTTTGAGCCAAGGCCTAATGTGTCCGTTTTCCACGATGACGCTACTCTTAAAGGAGAAAAATCTTTTACGGAGGACTTCGAACCACGACCTAGCATATCAGTTTATGATGATGGTGTCGGGCTTAAAGGAAAAAAATCGTTTCCGGATGAATTTAAACCAAGACGAGGTGTTACAGCTTATAGCAACTAATTAGCGAGACGAAGTTGCTTGTTGATATGCTCAAGGTCTCTTGATTACGATGAAGCAACAGTACTCTTGCAACTAAAGCCCACTATGGTTTGTGACATGCTTAAATAAAGGTTTCCTTAATTAGGGGCTTATAAGCGAGCTAGCGTGTTTAATTAAGCAATGTAAGATGTTTTTTCTTCATGTAATATTGCTATAAGAAGTTTATGAGAATTTCCCCGTTTTAATGTGTTTCTTATCAAACCTTTTCTAATGTTTCAAATCTCTCAATACATATAAGATTTGAGCCATTTTAAGAAACATTTTTAAGGCGCCTGCTACAGTGCTTTCTTTGAAAGCCAAAGCAGACTGCTCTTTTGCTGCAGAATTTCGGTTCCAACAATTCCCCGTGTTCGGAAGGTAGAAATGCACATTCGTTAGAAACACTAAAGCACCAAAGGTCATTTATGCTTGGTAAACCATTTATTACATCCCAGCAACAGTTATGTCCGTACTCGACTGCTTCGAAGGCCCCATGTTCTGATCTGTGGAGGAGAGCAATACAAGAAGAATTATTTCCCTTTAAGAGAAGCAGTTGTAGAAAGAATTTGCAGCCTTGGTAATTCTTTTGTTGGATGTCAACTAGTGATTGATGATATAACCCTCCACATCCTGGAAAGTTGCAAGTTCAGAGAAACAAGGAAGTCACGGATTTTGATGCTGGAGAGAGAGTTGAAGATTGTCTGGCTCTGTGCAGTGAGCTTTAATTGAAATTGATGAATTGTGATTTAAGTTTATTAATTTAAGATTACATCGATACCTTTGCTCGAGGATGATTATTTTTGTTTCAATTTGATTTTTATATTAAAAAATAAACCAAATTAATATTATTAATTTTAAAATTTTAAGTTTCAATTCAGTTTGGTTTTTGTTATTCAAAAACCGGTAAAACCAAAAAGAAAATCTTTGTGCCCAGTACTTATAAATTCTAACTACAAGCAAATTTTGATATCCAATACCCACAAATTACAAGCAAATCTTGGTTTCTGTTGTTCAAGAACACATATCCGTCCACAAACTACAAAAAAATTATAATATAATAATAAAAAAACAAAAACCCACAAGATGTATACTACATAGATGAACTTGAAATAAAATTAGAATTTTAATTATTAAAAAATCATCTCTTTTTTTATTTGTCTATATAGTTGAATTAAAATAAATGTTGATGCAGGGATGAACTTAAAGAAATGAGATGAGAGATAGAAGGAAAACAAGGAGGGGCCACGGGAGATGAAAGGCATGGAGAAAAAAAAAAAAAGGAAGAGAGGCTAAGAAAAGATGATAAGAGGCAGAGGAAAGAGAGGGTGTCAAGGGCACTTTAGGTCTAAAATTTTTTATATTTATACTTGATTTTTTTTAAATGCTGGAATAGTTGAACTGGTTAAGTTCAGTTCAATTGGTTTTAGATTTTGAAAACCAAACTAAATCAAAAAAAAATTATGATTTTTTTAATTGGTTAATTTGGTTTTTTTTGTATGATGAGAGATAGAAGGAAAACAAGGAGGGGCTACGGGAAATGAAAGGCATTAAGAAAAAAAAAAAAGGAAGAGAGACTAAGAAAAGATGATGAGAGGTAAAGGAAAGAGAGGGTGTCAACGGCACTTTAGATCTAGAATTTTTTATATTTATACTTGATTTTTTTTAAATGCTGAAATAGTTGAACTGGTTAAGTTCAGTTCAATTGATTTTAGATTTTGAAAATCAAACTAAATCAAAAAAAAATTATTATTTTTTTAATTGGTTAATTTGGTTTTTTTTATTTGATTTTTTCTATTATTTTTTTTTAATTATTTTTATTTAGTTGGTTTATTGATTTTTTTGTTGACCCTGCTCCTCACTGGACATCGAGATAAAAAAGAATCTCTTGAGCGAGAGAAAAAAAATAGTTCTTAACAATCAGGCCATTCTCTGTCCCATTTTGAACGCAGGGGCTAAAATCCTTATTTTACTGCAGTGGTGGTGGGCTGGGCTGGCAGATGGGAATCCTTGCCTCCCTTAATTCAAAAAAATTTCATGTATGCTGTTACTTCTACATGGATTCCGGCAATATTTTATATCATGTCTTTTCTGGGTTTATGCTGTACGTGGCCCATCAGTGCAAGAATTTATTATCTACAATAGTGAAATTGAAGCCGAGAATGAAAGCTCAATAACCAACAAGCCTGCTTGTCTATTGCATAATTTTTTTTTATTTTTTTTTGTAGATTACATTAGCACTGTTAATCCCGTAAGCCAAACAAACTTCAATTCAAACTATCCTCTCTTTTTTTTTCGTGCTTTTTGCTCGGTCACAATGACTCAACAAAGCTTGGAAACGGATAAAAAACATACGGCACATAAAACTTTGAGCATGTGAAATTATAACTACAGGTCTTGCCCTATTTATAGGTCCAGTTCTTAGCATGGATGTAACAAAAAATTATATGAATAGTAATTTTTAGGGTTTTATTCAATGCTCGCAGTTTTTTTAACTTTCTTATGTTGGGATGTTGTTTTTATAAGGATGCCTTTGTGGTTATTGGACTCCTCTCTCTCCCTCTGTTATTGGTATATAACGTTGATTTAATATTTTAATTTATGAAGTGTATTTTAAACTTTTAGATAACTTTTTTAGTTTGTTAATCATGTTATAATTTTGTGACTGTAATTGGATGATGTCTTAGAAATCTCATTGTTCAAATAACATGTTATCAGATATTTAAATCGTGGTTAACCAAATATTCATTTTCTTATTACTTTCTTTTTATCCTGCAGAGTGGAAAAATTAATGATACTAGTACTGCCACCAACAAAAACATTACATTCTATAATAAAGTTAATAACTTTAAATCTAAATAATAATAAATAAATAAATTATTAAATTTAAAAATAATTATTTTTGTTCTTGATATTTTGTGATTAATATCATGATACACACAAATATGTGCACTTTTAAAATAAGAAAATGAATTATTTTCTAGGTGTTTTATAAGATATTTATAACCTCTAAAATTCATTATCTTTAGAAAATAAAAAGATTGAAAAGTCTTTTTAATTTTGATCACTAATAAAGAATAAATATTTTTTATATCATTGAGAAGAGACAAATATCATTAATAAAATAGAAAGTGTAGTATTTCAAGAATTTTTTATGTGTCCATGGATGTAGGGAGATAATTACCTTTTATATGAATAGTTCATGTAAATAACATGAAAATAAAACCTTATGATTTTAGATTTCTAAATCTAGTTAGATTTGACATATAATCAAATCTAGACAAAATAAATTTGATAATTTAATAGACTTATAATGCCTTAGTTCATAATTGAATTAAAGTATAATTAATAATTAGTATAATAACTTATCGAATCTATAATTACTTCGACTTAGTTCACGGTTGAATATAAATATATTGAGTTTGATATATTATCAGATCTATAATAACTTAAACACATGTCGTAGTTGAATTCAATAATATTAGTTTTGATAAAAAAACTAGACTCGTATTCAATTAGATTAACACTTTATTATAGATTTGAACTTTTTTAAAACATAAAAAATATTAATTCCAACATGTTAACTTGTGATTCATATTAATTTTAGTTTAGCCATTCTTTAAAAATTACTTAAGCCTCAACACTATTTTGCAGGATCTATACATGTAGGGCGAGCATCTAAATTAATGAATTCATAATAATATATATCCAGCGACTTGTTTAAGAGCTGAACATCTAAATAATAATATACCAACCCTTCTAAATCTACAAATGTATTTTCCATGAATTGTAACTGGATACTTGCCCTTGCCGTTGCCCTGTTCTAAATAATCATATCACCTTCACCAAGTTCTATATTAATTAATCTATTTTTACATACAGGTATCCTTCTATATACTCCTCTAGAATTAAAGACATGTATTTTTCACTTATTTTTTATGGCTATTTCACCACCTTGCGCAGACACACACTTGCACTAAAAACATTAAAAAAAAAAAAAACGATAACCCTAACCAAAAACAAACAAACCATTCCCGTAAAGGGAAATAAGAATGAGAGTTTTACAAGTTAAATATGTAAATTTTAAGCCCCATTTAATATCATAGTTCAACTATGATTTCGAAGAATTTTGAGTTTTTTTAGTTTAAAATTAATTTATTTTATATTTTTTTATCATTTTAATATGTTAATATTAAAAATAAATTTTGAAAAAATAAAAAATATTTTTTTAATATATTTCAAAACAAAAAATAATTTTTAAAAAATCTCTATAGAATATAATATAATACAATTTTAAAACACCAACGAAGTTGTGGTTGCACCCATTTTCTCAACAGGCCCTTGTTCATTTTATTGCAGACCTGGACCAAAAGGCTTGCAACTTCATAAAACAATGGAGTCGGACTTCAGCTCTTTCTCTGGGTGTAAAAACTGAGCACCAGTTGGGTCTAACTTTCTCATAGAGGCATTGTTTCTTATCCCAGCCTTCTTATTCATGGCAAAGAAAATCGGAATACAGGGTCGACACGATGCAGATCATGGATCAGTATGAGCTTGCTCAGTATTTGCATCATTAATTTGATGATCATTTTCTGAATTAACATGAGCACCCTTTGGATGGACGCCAACATCACGTGCTTGTTTCCAACTGCATCCCATATCAAGCAGCTTAATACGTTTTTATGCTCGCCATCACATCCCTTCAATTCTTTCCTCCTGTATGACCAGAACAAATTATTTTTATGTTAAATAATTTTATTTAATGATAAAAGTTTATATTAAATATTTTTATATTTTTAAAGTTTTTAGAATTTAGATTGATTTTGATTTTTAGATTATAAATAGATTTATTATAATTCCTAAAATATTTTATAGATGTTTTATGTTAAAAATAGGTTGAAAAACAAGATTTTAGATTAAAAAAACTTAATTCTTAATTTATCTGGCACCATAATTATTGAAATCTAAACAAATTAAATGACATGTCATTTAAATATTTTTTCAAAAAAAATTAAAGGTTTAATCACACAAATTTGCTAAAACAGCTTATGCATGAGCTCTGAAATAATAGATCAGACAAACTAACTTAACCTTTGATTTTTATTTTATTTTATTAAAATTAATAAATATTTTTAAATATTTTTAATTTATATTTAATTTGGTACATATTCTTCCTTTTATTTTGTTGTTTGGATAATTTCTTTTAAATGATGCTTAATTTTTTG